TGTTAATATTTTATCCATTTTACAAAGAATTATAACCTGAAGTGAATATAGTCATGCATCTATATTAACAGGAATATGTTCCAAGAAGTGTATCATTAGGTGCTTTTGTTGTTGTGTGAAATCGGAGTATACTTATACAAACCTAGACATGTAGTTTAAAATACTGCCAAGATATATGACATGGCCATTGCTTCTAGATTACTGTTCTGGTTTGCTGTTCTGTTGCTGTGATAAAACACTGACCAAAATCAACTTGAGAGGAAAGGGTTAATTTCAGCTTCATGGAGGGAAGTCAGGGCAGGAACCTGGAGGCAGGACCTGGAGCAGAAACCACTGAGGAATGTTACTTACTGGCTTGCTCCCAGGCTCATGTTTAGCTGCCTTTCTTACACAACTCAGGCCCACCTGCCCAGGGATGGCACTGCCCATAGTGGACTGGTCCCTCCTACATCAATTATCGAGCAAGAAAATGCCCCCCAGACATGCCCACAAGCCAATCTGATTGAGGAAATTCCTCAGTTGAGATTCCCTCTTCTCAGGTAGGTCTAAGTTTGTTTCAAGTTGACCAAAACTATGACAGCTACAAACCTGTACTACAGAAGCATGCTACTGCAGAATATTGCCGGCAGTTATAACACATTGATAAACATTTACGTATCTAAACATACTTGAGTGCAGAAAAGTACAGCAAAACATATTGTACACCTTATAGGGCACTTACTGTGAATGGTGCTTGTGGGACTGCAAGCTGCTTTGGGGAGTCGGTGAGTGGTGAGTGAATGCAAAGGCTAGCCCATGACTGTCCACTACTGAAGACTCTGTAGAACCTGGACACTAAGGATACATTATATTTAAAAACTTTTTTCTTAGCTTAGTGTGGTGGCATACACCTCTAATTCCAGTACTTGAGAATCTGAGGTAAGAGCATTACCGTAAGTTCAAGGCCAGACCTGGGCTACATGAGACCCTGTCTTGATTTTTGTTTTCTTTCTTTAATAATAGCTAATAGCTAACCTTATATTACTGTATCATTTCTTACTTTATAAATTTTTAATGTTTTAAAACTTTTGACTCACAATAGTAGTATAAAATGAGACTAGAGAGATGGCTCAGTGATTAAGAAGAGTTCTGGCTGCTCTTGCAAAGGACCTGGGTTTGGGTCCCAGGATCCACATAGTGGCTAACAGCCATTTGTAACTCTGGATCTAGGGGATCTGACATCCTTTTCTGGCTCTCTCTCTCTCTCTCTCTCTCTCTCTCTCTCTCTGTGTGTGTGTGTAGCATTGTATATACATGGTGTGTCTACATACATGCAGGCATAACACACATAAAACAAAAATAAACTACACAAAATATCTGTTCATATCCTTTTTCTATAAGGGTTTTATACTTTTTTGTTTTACTTTTTGTTAAACTAAGACAAAAGCACACATATGTTTTGACCTGCTAGAAGGTTTTCAGGACAATAATACTCACGCAGAGTTGCCATCTCCACTGATATCATGCTCTTTCTTTTGAAGCCTTCCTCCCAAAGGAGACCTCCTATTTATTTTACAGTCACCTTCTCTTCATAAGTAGACTATGCTCTAAGATAACAATATGAATACAGTAAACAACGGTAACCTAGTCGTTTACTGCTCCTGTGTGCTATGCACATTTGTATGAGTCCTACTCCACGTGACTGGTGGCACATTCAGCTTCTTCACACCAGCATCCCCACAAGTAATGCATTGTGCTTAGAAGGTGATGGCCAAATCCCTCAGTCACAGGAATAAATCTCATGGAACCACTGTCCTATATGTTGTGTGCTGTTCACCAAAATATTCCTATGCAATGCATGCCTCAAACACTGGAAAATGCAACTGAGATGATTGAGTAATAGTCAAACAATATGCTTGCATCTCCTACCAACACTAATAGCATTTTATGTTAAAATCACCAATTTAGGGATATATTGCTTCTAAAACTTATTTCTTGAATTATACATAGGAATAGCACAATGTATTTTGTGTGTTTAACTGTATTAACACGTTAATTTTATTCAAGAAGTGTTCTAGTTTGCTTTCAATTACTGTCACAAAACATCCTGACCAATACCAACTTGGGGAGGAAAGGGTTTATTTGACTCACATCTCCCAGGTTACAGTTCATCACTGAGGGAGTCCAAGGTACGAACTCAGGGAAGGAACCTGGAGGCAGGAGCTGGAGCACAGGCCATGGAGGAACTCTGCTTACTGGCTTGCTGCCCTGGCCCCCTTTCAACCTGCTTTCTTATACAACACCCCTACCCAGGGGTGGCACTACCCACAGTGGGCTGTGCCCTCCCACATTACTCAATAATCAAGAAAATGCCCCACAGACATGGCCATGGGCCAGACAAATGGAGGCAATTCTCCAATTGAGGCTCCCTCTACCCAGGTGTGTCAAGTTGACAACCAAAGATATCCAGAACAAGAAGGTTGCACTAGCAGGTTCAGGAACACACACAACATGGCAGAAGTTTAAAGCAAGGGTGACTGATTAGATCTTAACTGCTCTCCATCCGCATGCAGGAGCCTGAGGACCCAGAAAAGGGTGTCAGATCCCCTGAAACTGAAGTTACAGATGGTTGTGAGCTGCAATGAGGTGTTGAGAGCCAAACCTGGTTCCTCTTCAAGAGCAACAAGTGCTCTTAACCACACAGCCATCACTCCAGCCATCAGTGTATTCTGTTGAGTCAATAACATCACCATGCTGATTATTAAGGTTAATGTCCTCTTTCTACTATTTTGACACTTTTGTTAAAAATCAACAGACCAGGTATATGCATATGTCTGTTTCTGCACTCTGGTGCATTGTTTCTGTATATTCTATTTGTCTCTTTCCACTAATATGGAACAACTTTACTTACCCACCCAACTTTAAGAGTACTGCTTTTAGGTGGGGCAAATACTCTAGCTTTGTTCTTGTGAAAACTTGCTCCTGTTATTCTAGGTTCTTTACATTTCCACATGAATTTTAGAATCAGTTTGTCAAGTTCTAAAAAAATCAGCTTGTTGAAATTGGATTTAATGCATAAATGAACTTAGTGAAACTAACAAGATTCTTTGCAATTCACAAGCACAATTGAGCTTTTCTTTAAAAAATATTTTATTTTTATTTTATGTGTATGAATGTACTGCCTGCATATGTATAAGTGCATCTGTCATTCAGTGCCCGAGGAAGTCAGAAGAGGATGTAGGCTCCCCTGGAACTGGAGTTACAGACGGTTGTTAGCTGCCATGGGGGTGCTGGGAATCAAACCTGGGTCCTCTGTGAAAACAGTCAGTGCTCTTAATCATTGAGCCATCATCTCTCAGTCCACAATTGATCTTTTCAATAATTCAGATCTTCTAAAAAGCAAGAACACCTGTAAGCACATAAAATATGAGTGCTTTACACGTCATATTAATTAAAATTCACCATTCCCTTTATTAGACAGATCAGACATGTGAGGAAATAGAGAAGTGGAGAGATTTAACAATTTCCTGAAAACCCATCAATAAGTGACACAGAAGGAAATTTGGGTTCTCACTGGACTGACTGAGCCCTAACTTTTTCCATTCACCAGTTGACATAGCTCAACTGTAGCTAGGGTTGAGAGAGCAGCTTCACCCATGTCTGCAAACCTTTCCAAAATTCAGACTGTTCCTGAACAATCACACATTCAAACTCTTGCCACAGTGATAACTTCAGTGCTGTAGTAAGAAGACAGTGTTAAGTTGTGTGGAGGCATATGGGCATCAGAGATAATTAGACTTTCAAATTGCACTTGAGAATTGAGGGTGCCAGCTACATCCTCAGGGTATCTATCTTGTCTATAACTCTTGGGATTCAGGTTAATGAACAGCATACACTTTTGTACTCCACTGCCAGAGAGAGAGAGAGAGAGAGAGAGAGAGAGAGAGAGAGAGAGGTGTCTCATTCCATTTATGAATTGATCTAGGAGTTAAAAAAAAGGTTTGCAAAAGGTCTCACTGCTCTGGATATAATCTGTGAAATACCATGTCAGGGAATTTTACTGATTTTTTATAAGCTTACTTGTGCCCAAGATAATAAAAAATAAAGCAATATATTAAAACAAATCCAAAATGATTGCAATTAAAATGAGCCAAAGTTCCTGACCTATTCCTGATAAGGAATAGACTAAGGTTTAATTTTTAAAAGAAATACATGAAGAAAAATGTTACAGGTGAAAGTGTGCTGCAAGTTTTTTTTTTAAAGTGCCTGTGTATGTGGGCTCGCGCGGGTGCCTGTGAATATGTGTGAGGACACCCTCCCATGTCATACTCAGGAACAATGTCCATTCTTTTGAGACAAAGTCTCTTTGTTGGCCTAGAGCTCACCAATTAGGCTGGAGCAACTGGCCAGTGAGCACCGGGGATCTTCCAATCTCTGGCCAGGTATCACATGGATTTGGGGGGATAGAACTCTGTCCTCATGTTTGCAAGGGAAGTGCTTTACTGCTGAGCCATCTCTCACCTGATAGTCCTGCCTAAAGTATTTACATTCACATTGCTTCTCAAGGTTCCCCAGGCTCTTTCTGTCTTTTGTCCAGGTCTGGGAAGCATCGTTTCCCATCCCTTGTCCGACAAGGGATAGAGACAGTCCAAGGCCCAGGATGGATGCTTTAGGTTTTCCTGAGTTCCCCTTGTCTGCAAAAGTCAGCATGGCAGCCCTGGAGCGGAGTGAGCCTCGCTGTGACTCCAACACCGAGCGAACACTGAGCTTAAAGCCTGGTGCAACTTGGTACCACCTGCCAGAGCGGCCTGGGAGCAGCCGCCTGGTGGGAGTTGTCTGGGTGAAGGAGTGGGAGGGAGGGAGGGAGGGAGGGAGAGAGGGAGGGAAGGAACAGACCCACGCTCCCCACTTGTTACCCTGCCAAAGGCCGTCCCAGAAAGGGCGTGGAAGGGAACCAGAGTCTTGAGGAGGAGGGTCACGAGGCCTGGGAGGGCGGAGGCCTGAGGGTGGCAGACGCCCGCTAGCTCCCGGGGGAGGATGACCGTGCACTGACATGCTCGGTCCCTCTGCAGCCGGCAGGATCCGACACTTCCCCGCTGTCCCCGCAGGTGACCCCTCCGCGCGCCGCGGGCCGCAGGTGAGTCAGGCCAGGAGGCATCAGGTGTCGTGGGAACCGCGCCCGTGGCGCTCAGGGAAGGAGCGCGATGTCGCCTGCGGCCGGTGACACCGAGCTGGAGGGTGGGGGGCCCAAGACCTCTGCACCATGGAGGGCACAGAGCCGGGAGCCGGCTGCGAGATGCACGGGTTTGGCAGCGCCGGAACTCCTCGGGGGGCCACAGGTCAGTTGGATGTGTGGCAGGGTGGGAGCACCCCCGTCGGGTCACCACAGTGGGTTTAGCTTCGACTCCGGAGTCCCACCTCTCCACGCCAGCCGCGGCCCCCAGGGAAGCATCCCAGCGCTGGACGCTCCCACTCTGACCCCCGACCCGGACCGCTC